GAGTGGGAAAATATTGTGACACAAGGCAAGTGTTGTGATTGGGTAATTGTTGACTCTTCAGTGATCCCAGCTGAGTAGCTCTTGTCATTTAGGAAAAATCTTCAGAAGCCTGTATTCAGGTGGAACAGTTAGGCTGAAGTACAACTTCACTTAACACCAACCCCTGTTAGATTCCTCCTGCCTTCCAAGGACATTGTGAAGGTATGACCCACCCAGGGGAACCTCTTCTGCCTTTTTTAAGAAATCATATCTGCTCAGATTATCATAGGCCTATAAAGAACAAGAAGGTTGATTATTTTTGAATCACAGTGGGTCATTCTTTTCACTCTATCATGAGTTCATTTTTCCCAATCATCCTCTAAGGTCCAGTTCAAATGGTACCTCCTTTGTGTAGCCTTCACTGTTCCTCCAGAGAGGAGTGATCCATTTGTACTTCTCATGTATTTTTCCATCATACCCTGTATTTTGCTGATTTGCACATGTTCTTCCTTATTCTACTTTATTAAGTGGTAAGCCCATTGAGGGCAGGGCTATGCCTTATTCATCTTTGTCTCCCCTTTAGCACTTAGAACATTCTTTCATGTGGTAGGCCCTCATAATAAATGCTTGAGATGAATGGAATGGAGTTTTCCTAGTCAGCCTATCAACTGTTTGGCTATAACAGTTTAACAACAATGAGCAATTTAAGCCAATGTCTAATTTGAAATTATGTGATACTGCAGATAAGGCATTAACAAGTATCTGGTTTAACCTTTATTTTTCATATATGCACTGAGACCCAGAAAAGTTCAGGGGCTTGTACAGGGTTCCATTTAGTGGCAGAAACAGGGCTGAAAGCCAGCACTCATAACTCTCCCACTGTACCACAGTAACAAAGAACATATAACTAAACCTCAGAGCCTCAAAGGAAGAGAACACCAAGCTGTGCTGTTTCACCCTAGCCTTATATCATATTGTTGAATGTAAATGGGTATCTATATTTTGCCATAAAATTTCTCTATTTTTATAGAAAATGTTTGTGTTTAGTGGTATGAAAAAAATACCTGTGCCTGGTTTCTCTGTCTCTTATTTTTATTTTTAAAATAAATCAGGAGTCCTCTCTAGACTGACTCAATAAAATCAATACCCACTATTGGTGTTAGCTCTCTTGCTTTCAGTGCACTAATTATTAAACTCTAATAATTAATGTCCTGATTAAATAAAAATGACTCTGATCTGTCCTGATAATTGCCCTTTGTGATCTGTTACTTTACTGACTCATCTTTGGTGTGCCTTGTTCAGAGGAGAAAAATTTGTTTTTAAAGGAAAAATGTTACTTTCCCATTCCCTTTGTTTTCTATGACTTGAGATTTCATTGAAATAAGAACATGACTAACGGTTTCTTAAAAAGTCCTTTTTGTGCCTCTTTTCTTGATGTTTTCTTTTGTCTGGCTCAGAGTGAAGTCAAAACAAATCAAATTACTCCAGTGCCCCTTTCCTTCAGAGCTATTCTGGGGAGTTAGGGACTTCACATGAAGACTTTGCATTGGGTCTTGAAACAATAGTTCAGCCGCTTTATATGAGGTTAGTTGATATCCCTGACATAAAGGTAAAACATTTTATCTAGGAAGTGAAACTTAAATTGATGCTTCTACCCTCATTTCCACATATTGGAAGATTAAAATTGTACCACATTGTGCTGTGGGAATTTAAACTGAGGGTATGGGAAGGTAAAAAAGAAAAAGAAATATACACATAAATACATAGTCCTCACTTGGGGCTTTGTTATCCTGAAATGTCGTGCACACATTGTATGTTGGCAAATAATGAGTGAAAGATAATCATATTTTTCTCATTCCAAAAAGTATTGGAGAAGAAAAGTATAATTTAAAGAAGATGAAAATTATTCCTCAAGCAAGCTTTAGTCTGGTGTGACTAGTTCTAAGCTTATTCACCAATCTATTGAGTAGGGACCACAAGCTCAATTAACTTCTTGCAGGTATCAAAATTAAACCAAGCCCAAATCTTCTTTAGACATAGATGAAGGAGGATCCACAGTGTCTGCTTATATATGCTGAATTTTCTGGTTCTGCTTAATTGTACTCTTTGGAGGAAGCTCACGTTATAAAACTGGCTGTGACACTAAAGTGGCTGTATTCTCTGTTAATCTTGATTTCTTCATTTGTAAAACAAAGAGTTTGGTCTTGATGGTTCCTTTCAGCTTAAAATGCTAGAATTTTCTGAAAGCCTTTTCATCCCCCTAATATTCTGACTCCCATGCAGTTTAAACTGCTGTGGCCTCAACTGAAACAATGATATTATCTTTCTGTAAATACAATAAAACCTAATTTTAGCATGGTTTCTTTGTCAAAGCAATATTTGTGGACCATCTACTCTGTCCTGTAGGGGATACAGAATATTACATGGTCATAGACTATAGGAGCCTGGATTTATAACTGGAAGTGACCTTTGAAACCATCTCATCCAGCCTTCTCAACTTACAGATGAAAAACTGAGGCTAAGAGAAATGAGGCAAGGTCACTTGCCTAATATCACACATTTAGTGAGTGGCAGAAGTGGAACCTGAACCCAGGTCCTCATCCTAAATCTAGTATTCTTTTTCCACTGAACCACACAGCATTTTCTTGGATTTAGATGGTGTGGTGGTATTGTTCAACCATTTCGGGGCATGTTCAACTCTTCATCACTCCATTTGGGCCGGTTTGTTTTTGACAAAGATACTGAAAATGATTTGCTATTTCTTTTTCCAGTTCATTTGACTAATGAGCAAACAGGGTTAAATGATTTGCTCAGGGTCACACACCTGGTTAAATATCTGGAGCAGGATTTGAACTCAGGTTTTCCTGATTGCAGACGTGCCCTCAAGGCACTGTACCTCCTAGCTGCCCAGGATTTAGATGTACTGAATTTCAAAATCTGCCCTCTCCTAAATTTCCCCAGATGAAACTACTGCAGAAAATATAACCTGATAAAGCATAGCTACTTTGTAATGGTTGCATCTGATTGATAGCATTTTATTCCTTAATCAGAATTAGTTGAGTTACTGACTTAAATTTTTAATACTTAGTGGCCACTTTATGCAGTGGCTTTGTAATAAAGGAATAGGTTATTTAAGTTATGTTCATTGCAAAATGTTGGAATGATACCAGTCTAAATGTTTCAGTGTGCTACTTCTGTCATTGGTAGGCTTATTGTAGATGGTGTAACTGAAACAAAACAAACTGCGAAGAATAGCTCATGCCAGTCATAGAGAAAGGACTAAATTAAAATTGGAGCAGGTGGAGATCACTTTTAGCATCTGGACTAGTGGTAGGAAAGGTTTCATGGAAGTAGTTGCACCTGAGAGGAGCCTCAAAAGGAGAGATTTCAGTAGGTACAACCGGAGGGAGCAAATTCCAGACAGGAGAGAGTGGGATGGGGTGAGGGTCTACATAAATGTAGAGCTAAAAAAGACTGACCCTTAGCTTTGATACTTTAATGCTAGGTTGGGTTTTGTTGTTGTTGTTTTTCTCTTGAAGAAATATTAGGTGAACGAATGAGAGCAGTGAGGAAATTACTATCTTTTTAGAATTCTTTTATATTAAAATTGTGTTTTATAAGATCCGAAGGGGAAATGTTTGGCTACTTAAAGAATTCAGATACAGTTTGTTTCAGGAAAAAAAAGGCCAGATCATAAAGTGTAATCAGTCAACTAATATTTTTGGCAAGCATCGTATGTGCTAGGTAAGGTTCTGTAGAAAATACTGAGAAATACATGACAGTTACTGCTCTCAAGAAGCTTAATCTAGTTAAAGGAAGAAGACATGACCATATAGAAAGAAAATAATCATTCAAGACAGTACACAAGGGCCGAATGCATATTAACTGACAGTACTAGAAAAATTCAGGTGAGAAAAGTTACAAAGGACTGGGACGGACAAGAAAGGTTTCATGAAAGTAATATAACTTGAATTATTTGAATTTTGGGGAATGTGTAGGCCTCATTCTTATAGGCAGAGAACAGTGGTTAGAACATTCCAAGTGGGAAGACTAGCATGAGGCAGGATGGGGTAACCTACAGGAAGGCATGAAAGCTTGTTTTAGGGACAATGAATAGATCATTTTAAGTGTAGTATAAGATAGGCAGAGATGAATAACAAAAATAAGGTTGGCTTTTTTCACATATGGGAACAGTCATGTTTGTTGATGACTTAAGTTCATGATAAAAAAAATTTTTTAAAAAAAGATTAAGAAGGTAAGTAGGGTTAATACTCTAGCTAGGAAATTTGGACTTGATTCTGTAGGCAGTGGAGAGCCATTTAAGACTTTTAAGCTGGGGGAAAACCAAATGAAAGGGTTTTTGGAAATTTAACCTTGTGGGACTATGTAGATTGGATTGGAACGGACAGAGACTGAAGTGAAGGGAGAGCAGTTATGGTGGCTTAAATAATTTTTAGCAATTTGACAAGTACTCAAAAAGAAAAGGGCAGAGTGTGTTAATTGGAAGGAGTATTTAAAGAATCATGGTTGCCACATGGAATAAACCCGTCAAGAAGGACTCTTAGTGCTTATATGATCTGTTTTTCTTCCTCCTTATCCATGAGAGTGAGGACAGAGGGGTTTGGCACAACCAAACCATTATAAGAAAAAAAAGAAAGTAAGAAGTTTCTTCTTCCTTGACACAAGATCACAGAGTCATGGATTTAGGCTGGAAGGCAATAAGATCAAGAAACTTCAGGATATTGCTCTTGTTGTAACAAAGATTTGATTTCACTTATAGTAACAATCAATCCTTGATCCAACAAACCAGAAAAAATTAAGAGAATATCAGAGAACTTTGTTTATCTCTGTTTATAATGTTTATAATCATTTTGTGTTCAGATATAGAAATTAATCAACTGATGACATAATTTGATTTTCATAGATATAAGTGTATCTGGTGCCTGTATTTTTCTTTTTAATAATCAAGAGGTATAGGTATTGAATTATTTACTTTTTGGTTTTCTTTGATCTTGCTCTAGATGTGAAGCCCTCCAATATGTTGGTGAACACAAGAGGACAGGTCAAGCTATGTGATTTTGGAGTTAGCACTCAGGTAGACCTCTTCCTCCTTTCCTTCCTCCCTCTTCTACTACTACAGTTTTTTTTTTGTCTCTCCCCCTTCCTGGAATTAAAATCACCTAGCTGCCAGACAAACAGAACCCCAGAATGCTAGCCTCGCTGGGAACACGTTATTCATTTTAAATCTCTGAGCGAGTTTTCTTCATCAGAATATGATTGTTCATTGTTTAATGACAGTAAAAACTGCTGATATTGTAATTACTACTTACGAATAGCAAACTTCATTGATATGCAGCTTTGATATGAAAGTGTTTTGGCCAGACAAAAGGGAGGGCAGAGTGGGAGCTGTGTCTGGGGAGCCCAACTGGCCCACAATAAAAATTAATATTGGGAGCAACAATGGCGGTGGGCCATTACAATGTGCAGCACAAATTTTAATTAATTTCCATTTTGGGCCTCCCCTGAGAACCTCGGTGATAGTGACCCATGAGCGTGCTGTGATGTTGATTTGAATTGCAGCCACCTTTACTCTCAGCCAAACACGAAGACCAAAGAGGAGGTCAACGCTGTATTATGAGTTGTCAAAGTCTGTTATCCCTCCAGTGTATTTAGTGTTCATTTCATTCTAGTAATGCATGTGGCTTCATTCACATCTTGAGCCATCTGACTCAAAAATGAGTGTGTTCAAATTCTACTTCAAATTGACTTTTTATATCAGGCGGGTTTGGGGTACTAAAGCTATAAGCATCCTGCTTAACAGAATTGTTTAAGGTTATCTGCTGTAAACTGTAATGCTGTGCTTGTTTAAAGTCGAAATAGCATCCAAAAGAAAAGAGAGATTTAATCATTTTTAATGCCTTTGTAGATAAATTTGTTCCCTTTTACATAATTTTTAATTGATTTATAGGAATGATGATTGTAGGTTAAATGAGGAATAATTGCCCATTTTATTTCCACATTATCTTTATATTGTTCTAACAGACTGTTTTGTCTCATAGCTGGTGAATTCTATAGCCAAGACGTATGTTGGAACAAATGCTTATATGGCGGTAAGTAAACTTATGCAAAAATAACATTTAAACCAAAGTCTTTATTTTTGCATAGTTGGTAGTATATAACTGTTGAATTCATTTCACAGCTTTGTTCTTACATATCATAAATTACAAAGTGAATCCACTCAGTCTGATTTTTAAAATCTTTGTAAAAGACATTAAGGATAATACAGGAGCTCCAAACCTATCTGGTATTGTTGACTTAACTGGATTCTGTCACGTGTGAAAAAAATCACTAAACAAATACAGTATTGAAGTATAATCTTATAGGAGAATTGAACTGTGCCATATTGGCCATTTTGCAAGTTTGCTTATCTAATTAATCCACATGTGCTCCTAAACTGCTAGTAAGATTGGTTGTTTTCTCAAGGAATGCAGGCAAAATGACACTAAGTTATTGGTGGTGTCAAATTTTACTTGTGGCTATTCAGATCCATAGCCCATGGGAACAACTCTTTCTAGTACCTGGACTTCTAGCTTCTTTGTGTCAACCATTGGACTCATGTTAATTGGTAAGATACGTTTTCTGGTCTCATTGAAACATTGAGATGTTTGCCAGAAAAGAATTGAAAAGACAAAACTGTTTTACAAACTAACGTGGCCCTTTTTTTTCTTTGACCTCTTTGCTTTTTCTCTTTTCTTTTTTCCCTTTCTTTCTGTCTGTCTACTTTTCTGTCTTCCTATCTTGCCCAGGCTGGAGGTGTATCAGCCCCTCAAAGGCCTGATCCTAATATTGATTGTTCTGGAAGCTTTACTCTCTGTTTTTCCACAGCGAGCTATTTTTGCCCCTTCTTAAGCAGCCAGTGGCCCTCCACTCCCATCATGTTTGTGCCAGACTTAGTGCAGGCACCCATTTGGCTTTTGCCCTACCACAGCTCAGAACTCTTCAACTCAAAACTCTCCCCAGTAGCAAGGATTACAGGCATGCCTCACCATGTTTTCCTCTTCTGAAGAGAATCTTTTTTAGTCTTTGAGCATGGGAATATGTTTGTTTCAATAAACGTCCTTCCCTCTGTGTGCTTCTGAAATGACTTCCAGTGAATGGAAATAGCAACTGCAATTATCAGTCACATCTAGAATTCAGATTTGGTGCAAAAAGATTTTTCATCCCTTAAATCAAAAGATGTTCGTTTTGTTGGACACCTGGATTCTTTTCTCTAAGGAAAAAAACCCAACCTTGTACCTTATGTCAGTTTAGGTACCAGAATACAGGAAAAATAACTTCTTAACTGTTGGACTTTCTTAATTTGAGACAGCTAGAGGGTGCAGTGCATAGACTGCTGGATTTGGAATCGGGAGGACCTGAGTTCAAATCTGGTCTTGGACACTTACCAGTCTTGTGACCCTGAGAAAGTCACTTAATCTCTGTCTGCCTCTGTTTCTTCATCTGTAAAATGGAGATAATAATAGCACTTACCTCCCAGGGTTGCTGTGAAGATACAATGAGATAATATTTCTAAAGTGCTTTGTAAATCCTAAAGCACTTTACAAATGGTAGCTGTAATTGTTTTTTATTTTTTTTTTGGGCGAGACCATCAGGGTTAAGTGACTTGCCCAGGGTCACACAGCTAGTGAGTATCATGTGTGTCTGAGACCAGATTTTAACTCAGGTCCTCCTGACTCCAGGGCCGTGCTTTATCCACTGTGTCGTCTAGCTGTCCCCCTATAATTGTTATTAGAAAACTGATTTATTTGCCTTTTTTCTAGGTGAAAAGGATATCTGTTAACCTCTGAAACCTTTGTGCTTTATTCTTAACAAGGCTTAGTTATCATTCTGGTCCCACCAGGTTAGGCAAGTTTGGGGGATTATAGAGGGAGGGAAGGAAGCAACTTCAGTTGGTGGAAGAGCTCAGAATAAAATGATGAGAAAAAACACCTCAGAATGAATCAACTTTTCAACAGTGCATCATGTTCTTAGTAGCTTTAAATTGCTTTAATAATTAAATTGCATTATTCTCTGTTCAAATTCAGATTACAGTTGTCCTTCCCAGGTGCGCATTAAAGAAATTACTTTTTTCCAAAGTGTTTATGGATGAATACAAGGTGTTTGTCTGTTAATTGAAAAAGCAAGGATTAAAATTATGAAATGTTAGATCCGATTGGCAATACTAAAATTGCTTTTCTTCTTGGATGAGTGGATTCCAGTCATAAAGTTTATAGTCCAAGCTAAGAAAAGCAAGGTAACTAGGAAGTATAACTTGATAGGCAAAGCTTCAGTGACAAAGTACTAGGTTTTTTTTTTAAATCAGGGTTATGGATGTAAGAGGAAAGGAAAATGAACTTTATAATAGGTCTTACTACAAGCTCCATAATAATGGAAGCCTTCTCCAGATTTGGATGTCTTCAGTCAACCAGTGTTTTCTAAGCACCGGGTGCTTGCCTTACTTTGTGTTAGACAAGATGGGGCTAGAACTTATGGTCTAGTTAGGGAGATAAGCACGTGTGAAACAATTAGGGAGCAAGACATTATATACAGATACAGTGAAGTTCTCCATTGCACAATATGAACATGTAGTGTCTGTCCCACAATTCAGAGTTCAGGATGGTAGAATGGAAAGAGTGCTAGACTTGGGATTCAGGACAGTCCTGAGTTTAGCTCCCATTTCTGACACTTCTTAGCTCGGTGACACTGGGTCACTCCCCTGATGTCTCTGAGTTGTCTGAGGCATTGTAGCAATGAATCTTTCTTAGTAAAAGTTGAAGTAGGTGGTTGCTAAGACCTCTTCCAACTTGGACTCTGATTCATTGAAGGGGACAGATAGAAAGCCCATTTGAACAGTGAGGTTAAGGAACTTGTGCAAGGTAGAAGAGCTGTCAGTGGTCGCGCTTGTATACTACTTGCAGCAGGGTTTTAAAATAGGGCTTCTTAACTTAGAGTCCTTGAACTTGTTATTTTTTGAAACATCTATTTGATTACTGTATTTCAATATAATTGGCCTCCCTTCTAATCATGTGTATTTCCTATTTATAATTTCTATATTTATTTATAATTATGAATTATTTTCAATTTATGTATTTATTTATGCACATAATGACATTCTTCTGAGAAGGGTCTGTGGGCTTTGCCAGACTGCCAAAGGAGGCCATGATACAAAACAAGGTTAAGCAATCCTGGTTTAAAGGAAAAAGAAACTTCACAAAAGTAGGGAAACTTGAACTGGATGGGGAACGACAGGTGCAATAAATGGATTGGGGGGAAAACAGCTATTCAGACAGGGCAAAGAAAATGAATGAAGTAGGCAAGAAAGCAGTCCTGAGTGTGGCATAGTTGAAACAACATGACTTAATAAAAGCTTGTTCACTTTTGACATAGTGAAAAACAAAAACAAGAAACTGAAGGCCAAGCATGAGAAAGGCCTTTTTCCTCTTTTCAAAGTCTTTGGTTTATCTAAGCCTCGTTCTTAGTCAAACCTGCTCCAGTAGTTCCAGTGATGAGATATACACTTCTGGAAGGTGCTGAGCATGAAATTGAAGGCAATGAGTATTGGGTAGAGCTGGTTCATTAGACTGGGCTGTCTCATGAAATTCTAACATTTCTTGATAAAGAGAGCAGATTTCTTAATGGAGGACCATGAAAGTTGAATTCTGAAGCAGGTTTTGCCACTGATTGGCTGTGAGAAAAGTATTGACTCCTGGGGGACCTTGTTCATCATAGTAAGAGGCAGCTAGGTGGTGCAGTAGATAGAGTGCTGGGCCTGGAATCAAGAAGACCTGAGTTCAAATTAGGTCTCAGACACTTACTGGACATGGCACCTTGGACAAGTCACTTAACCTCAGATTGCCTCAGTTTCCTCAAGTGTAAAATGTGGGTAATGATAGTACCTATCTCCCAGAATTATTGTAAGGATCAGATGAGACAATAATTGTAAAGTACTTAGCACAGTGCCTAACACATAGTAGGCATTATATGTAAATGCTAGCTGTTATTATTTTTATAGCAATTACTGTGTCCATTACTATGGCTGTAATATAGATATTACAAAATCTCAGTTAACCAAAACCCAAATATGAGCAAGATTCTTTACTCTTTTTATGATCTTAGACCAGTCTCTTAAACTCTGGTCCTCAGTTTTCTCATCTGTAAAATGAGAGTCATGGTCTATACCAAAACATTATAGTAGCACAGAAAGCTGAAAGCAAAGTAGGTGCCCATTTGGTTGTTGACTGGCTGAGCAAGCTGTGGTGTTTATGTGTAATGGAATGCTATCAAGAGGAAAGGACTGATGAATATGGGGGGTACATTCCTGTTCTCGTACTATGGAAAGGAGTTAGAGAAAGTCCTAAAACACTGCTAACCAGGTCCACTACAAATTTACACTATATAATCTGAGCTGGGTCCTAAGGCATTCCTTTTATAGCTTCCTATTCGACTCATTATCCCACTTAACACAGCAGCTTTTTTCCCCAAAACTTTTTCATCTCTCCTTAAGCTTTCCATTGTAGCCTTTACCTCTGCTGCCCTTTTTCAACTGAAAAAAAAAAATGAGCCCATTTGCCAAGATTCCACTCTTCTTCCCTTCTCCTCATCTCATGTGACTCATGTTTTCTTCCACTGTCTCCTTCTTTACCCCTGTCTTCTATGAAAAAGTAGCCCTTCTCCTTGCCAAAGCAAACTCCTTTACTTGCACCATTGATCCCATTCCATCTCATCTTCTTCAACAGATTAAACGGATTGCCCTCTCTACCATCCCCACTCTCACTAATTTTTAATCTCTCCCTGTCTCCTGGTTACTTCCTTGCTACGTACAAATCTATCCATGTCTCCCCTATCGTTAAAAAATTCTTATCTGATCCAACCATCTCTGCTAGCTATTATCTAATACTTCTCCTCCCTTTTGGCTAAACTCTTTAATAAGGCCATCTGCAATGCGGGCCTCCGTTTACTCTCCTCTTACTTTCCAAGGGTGGGGAACTGTTGGCCTCCAGGCCACATGTGGCCTTCTAGGTTCTTGGGTGCAGCCTTTTAACTAAGTCTAAGTTTTATAGAACAAATCCTTTTATTAAGGGAATTTGTTCTGTGACGTTTAGATTCAGTCAAAGGGCTGCAGTTGAGGAACTAGAGGGCCATATGTGGCCTCGAGGCCACAGGTTCCCCACCACAGTGTTAGACCTTTTTTAGTCTGGTCTCCAGTCTTACCATTCAGCTAAAATTGATCTCTTATCACTACTGTCAAATGTAATGGGCTTTTCTCAGTCCTCATCCTTCTCAACTCAACTTCAGAGGAAGTCTTTGATCTTATCAGTCAGCTTCTTCTTGATACTCTCCTCTTTCTAGGTTTTTGTGACACTGCTTTTTCCTGCTTCTCCTCCTCTCTGACTTACTATTTATTCCTGCTCAGTCTTCTTTGCTGAATCTTCTTCCATGTTACATCCGCTAACCATGAGTGGCCCCCAAGGTTCTGTGCTTGACTCTCTTCTTCCCCTAGATGATCTCATCAACTCTCATACATTCAATTAGCATCTCTGTGAAAATGATTCTCAAATCTATTTATACAGCCCCAACCTCTCTCATGACCTTCAGTCTCACGTCACCAGATGTCCTATTGAATATCTCAAACTATGGGCGGCTCAAAACTCAGCATGTCCAAAACAGAACTCATCATCTTTTCTCCCAAACCCTCTTTTCTTACAAATTTTCCTCTTACCATTGAGGACCCCACTATTCTCTCAGTCACCCAAGCCTGCAACCTGATTGTTGCCCTCAACTTCTCACTCACACTTACCCTACATATCCAATCTGTTACCAATCATGGTTGTTTCTACCTTACTAATGTCTTTCATGTATGCCCCCTTTTCTCTTCTGATGCAGCCACCACCCAGGTGCAGGCCCTTATCACTTCATGTCTGGTGAAGTGGTACTGTAGGCTACTGGAGTAGGCTGCTGGTTGGTCTCGCTCCATTCCATGTCTGCCATTCAGTTGACACCGTGGTCTTCCTGAAGTGCAGGTCTTACCATGTCACTTCCCTACTCAGTAAACTTTACTGGCTCCCTGTTCCCTTTAAGATCAAATTAAAAAAATCTTTGGTTGGCTTTTAAAGCCACTGACAACCTTGACCCTTTGTGCCTTTCCAGTATTCTTATATTTTACTTTGAGTATCAGAACTGAAATGTGAACTCCTCAAGTCTTCCAAAACCAGTGTTTTTACTGTTTTACCACACTGCCTCCTCAACAGCCTCATTATCTGGGCATTCTAGTTTGTTGAACTTTTTCCCTCTATTGAAAATTGAATTACTGAATAGATGTCAAGTTTTAAAAATCACGTATGATAATGTAAAATTGTAAGTTCAGTATTTCAAGATATTTTTAAAACTCCATAGGCTTGGGAATAAATAAATTCTATAAAAGAAGCTAGTTACATGGACCATAGTATCCAGAAAGTCACCATAAATGATTATTTTTCACCTCCTTCACCATTTAATCTGATTTCTCTTTGAGAATTTTCAGTCTACGTGATGAAAACCATCGATATTACATGCTCCAAACTAAGTAGTGTTGTTGATTCAGAGATTATGTTGATTTGAAAACAAAACACAAAGGTATGTTTTAGAAAAATGCCAATTTAAAAGACTTGCAAGCACACTACGTATTTTGTAAGAAAAGCTGCTTGACACCCTAGCCAGAATCAATCAATCAATCTCTCTCTCTCTCTCTCTCTCTCTCTCTCTCTCTCTCTCTCTCTCTCTCTCCCTCTCTCCCCCTCCCCCTCCCTGTCTCTCCTCTCCCTCTCTCTCTCTCTTTCTCTGCCTCTCCCCTCCCCTCCTCCTTCCTTGTAGAAGTCAACTAATTCACCTTGGTGACTTGTGTTTTTGGCATGTACATGCTGGAATTTTCTCTCACAAATCCCAGACAATTCTGGAATGCTTTAACTAAATGAGCCTTTTTGACTAGATATATGTGCTAAGCCACAGGGCCCAATTCTTGGGTCCTTTTTGTTGGTAGCTGGAGATGGAGATGTTTTCTTTCTTTATTAAGATACTGAGTTCTAAACCATTACAGTCCTTCATGACCATGCCTCCCACTCCCTCTCCTCACCCACACTTTTTTTTTAAAGTCATGGCTTCTTATTGTTCTTGTTAAGAATGTGCCAGGGTTAGGCAGCTGAGCCAAGATGGCAGAGAGAAGCCAGGAAGTTGCCTGACCTCTCCCCAGTTTCCCTCGGAAACGATGTTAAATCAAAGCCCCTAAATGCTGGGATTTGTGAATTGCTTTTTTTTTTAGTGTACTTAAAACTCAGATTTTTTTTTTTACTTTGATTCATGGTTTTTTTCCTATTAACTTGCTTTCTGCATTGGTGACAGCTGTCCTATCAGAGGAGCCACATACCAGCTTCAGCATTTTAACTGCAAAATGTCCATCACAGCTCATCATGAGTAATGCAGAGTCTGGTGGGGTTTTGGCAGACCATTTTAGTTTCAAGTATGACATCAGCTCAAAACTACTGCTTGAGGCCATATAGGCCTGGCATTATAAATCCAGAATGAATTTAGAACCTCCCTTGTGCTTTGAATCTGTTTCAGTGGCTTTGGGAACATTTGCCAAATTCTGTCTACCATTTGAATTCTTCAGGGTAGCCGTTCAGAGCTTGCTACCTGAGCTTGCCACGAGTTACCGCCCAAACCCTGCATCACAACAGTAATTTTGTTTCATCCGCTTATTGAAAGGATAATTTCTGCAGTGTGAGGTTGTCAGAATCCTGTCCGCAAGGAGTTCTCTGTGTCTGCCACCTGATATCTGTAGTTGAACAGTAGCTTACCCTCTCTTTTTTCCTTTTTAAATTTATTTTTCTATGCTTAATTTTCAGTGCCCAATTCACTTTTCTCTTTGGCTTGTTGTCTAATGAGCATGTTTAATGAATGTACTTAATCTCATTGTCATGCCTAACAAAATCTTATGGACACGGGTTGCCGTATGCTTTTTGCCATTTTCTGTGTGATGTGGCCATATCTTTTTTTTTTTTATCATTTTCTTGATTTTAAAAAGAAAGAAAATATGAAAGGAAAAGAAAAAGAGAGAGAGACTTGTTCCATTAAACTAGTACCCGTTTAGCAATTTCTGAGTAAATTTATGTGAAATTTGCACTTATGGATTGTTTATCTTATTGTTTGGTGATTTTGTTGACTTACTGATTTTAAACCTTATCGTTGTCTCATTTACCCTAAACCACACTTTCCCCCATTGTACCTTTCTAGAACAAAGCCAATAGCTGGAGCAACCTCCTCTGACAGCATATATTGTGTTCTACATCTGTAGTCTCCACCTATCTGCTAAAAGGAAGAAAGTGTGTTTCCCTTTCAGTTCTCCAGGATAGAGATTGTTGAACATCTGTTGTGATAGAAACTGAAAGAATCTTTACTCTGATGAAAATGTGTAATTTTAATAGGTATTGAGCATTCTGAGGAACTTAGACCTGATCATTTGGCATGCCATAAATATTTGTTGAATGAATAAATAAGAAATTGTTTCTTTTTTGTTCCATAGCTGCAGCTTAGCCTTTCAATGATGTAATTGTACCCTAGTATCCCATCTTCAGTCCCTTCAACCCTGGGCTTGTAATGACCAGTTCTACATGGAACAGATCCCCCTATATATTGAATGAGTCTGAGGCAGAAAATGTGTTTGCCTAGGTATGAGCACAGAATTGGAGAGATTACAAGTATAGAAATTCAGAAGTGAAATGCTGAGTTGTAAATGTTTAGATGATCATATTCACTAGCATCACAGAAATTGTCACATAATATGCCTAATTGCCGTTTTTGCCCTGGTAAGTGATTCTGTCTTGATGGTAGACTAGTTGACAAATAAAGAAAGAAAAGCGTGTCTAGTCACCAGCCTCGTGAGAGGATGCTGCTGATTTCACAGGAAATGGGATCCAAACGATGGAGTAGACAGGAGCATAGGGGACGTAGAAACAGGTGTATGCGAGTGGGGAGAAGGGTGAAGAGTGCTTTGAGCTGTGTTTTCTCGCTCGAGGGATAATGCAGCAGGATAAAGAGGGAACTATCCAACCAAAGCAAGTTCTCTCCCTTTTTTTTTTCAAATGTATATCTTTATCTGTTGGCATAGGCCTTTTTATTGACAGTAAACGCTTCTAATCATTCTGCATAAAGTGCATTCAGAATACAGTGTGAATGATGAGGGGCCTTTTGTTGTATTTTTCCAGAACATTAGCCCACCACCATTGCGCCATGGTTCAGCCTCTCTCTTCTCTGCAGTTCCCATCCTACAGAACCTCATCCACAGACTGTTTCTATTGGGAGAGCCAAAGGGTGTTGTAGTCAAAGGCTTAATTTTGCTCCTAGCTGTCTGGGCACATTTTACCACTCATCTTGAATTAAGGAGTGACAGTCCCAAAGGCAGTGCGCAAGCGCCACCGCCATAACCGTCTAAGGAAACCCTCAAGGTCTTGGCCCTTCTAACATAGTGGAATTAAAATTTAAAAAACTGTGATGCTGTGCGAACTGAACTTCCAGTTTCTACATAGCCCAGCGTGTTATAGTCCTGCCTCAGTACCTAATCACCTTCGCTTCTTGTTTATCTGTTTTAGGCTTGTTGTTTGTTGCTTTTTGGCTCTGGTTTTTCATTTAAGCAGCTTGCCTGGGCTTAGGACTTTCTTTGTGTTTCCTTATAGCCTGAAAGAATTTCAGGGGAGCAGTATGGAATCCATTCTGATGTTTGGAGCTTAGGAATCTCTTTCATGGAGGTGAGTTGAAGAAGTGGATGTGTCTGTGCATGTCTGTACTTAGGTGTCTTGCCAATAGGAAGAATAGAGACTTGGAAAAATTAAAACTGAGAGGTTTTGTTGTGTTAAATGTGTGTATTTATGTGTATACACATTTTTATCTACATATGTATGCATGTGTATGCACAAATGAGGTTCGATTGTAAAATATAAAATAATGGACTTTTCATGTATGATTCTTGTGTGTTTTATAAACTCGCTATGAAGGCAGTTACAGAAGGGAAGTTCCAAAAAATGTTTTGACAGTAACTGCATCAGTGGAACAAGTACATAATTTCCTAAGATGATTACTTTATTTATTTTTAATTTTAATTTTTTTGGTTTTTTTGTGAGGCGATTAAGGTTAAGTGACTTGCCCAGGGTCACACAGCTAGTAAGTGTCAGGTGTCTGAGGCCAGATTTGAACCCAGGTCCTCTTGATTCCAAGGCCAGAGCTCTATCCACTCTGCCACCTAGGTGCCCCATCAAGATGATTACTTTAAAGGATTATACTCATTCTGTGTGAGTTTTGGTATGTTTGCTAGAATAAAATCTATCTCGTTACATTATAGTTGTGTATGTACTTGCATATGTCTGTGTTTGATGTGCTGATACATGGCGTAGTAAGGTCTTAGTTGTTTTTAGCAAGGGTTTCAGTGTCTTTAAACTTTTCGTCTGTATTTACAATGGACTTAATCATAGCAGGTCAGATATAACCCCACTGGAGCTTTACATTTAGCTTCCTGTAGAGTGACCTTTAGTCTGTAGGGACATTCCTGCAGATTTATGTTGGAAATACATCTGACCCAGTCTGGTTAACTATAAATAAAGTGTTTCATTCTGAACACTTACAGATGCTTCAAAAATAGTTTTTTAAACACATGTTGATTTAAAAAGCAAAAGTATTTCTTAAGAGACAGAAAGAGACAAATCTTTTTTAATAGAATATATGCGGCTAAGATTACAGTGACCATTTCATCAGCTTCTTTTGATCAAATGCATTGTCTGTAATGCATGCTAAAGAAAGTATAAATAAAGTGTTCTATTTTTATTAAAACATGTTCTCATATCCCATTTGATACAAGGAGAATGAAGAGAAAATGGACTGTGTGTATATCATAACAATGCACAAACATCTAAAGTTGAGTTTTTCTTTCCAGCAGTTTTCCTCCACTAGCTTCCATGATACAACTACTAAGTTCTCTGGCAATGACAAGACATATAGTATGGTGTAATTAACTGCCTATGTACAAGCAAAAAGAAAATTCAGAGGAATTGTAGTGTTACAAGGGTTCATAACTAGTAACTTTATGATTTACAATGAATATGACATTTTGCTTTGGTTATATATTGGGTTTTGTTGATCTGTTCATCTGAAGCTGATGAAGAGTGTCTATAAAAATGCCAACAGACCTGCTCCATTTATTGTCTGTTATATGCCTTCCAGTTTTATCTATAAATGGTCTTGGGAAGATCTGGCTTAACCAAACTTTCTGCGGAATCATTTCCCCCTACACCAGGGGTGGGAAACCTGTGGTGGCCTTCTAGGTCCTTGGTCGCAGCCTTTTGAGTGAGTCCAAGTTTTACAGAACAGATTCTTTTATTAAGGGGATCTGTTCTGTGTGACCTTTGGATTTACTCAGAGGGCCACACTTAAGGACCTAAGGGGCCACATGTGGCCTCAAGGCTGCAGTTCCCCACCCCACTACACCATTCTTTTCTATTTTGTCAGGTGATATTATTTATAATCTTCCGTTGTTCTCCTGTGTAGCACTTTGCAAATGACCTTATATCCAGTGTTGTCCTTTTGGCTACCATATTTTTCTGTTTGACAAGGAAATCTAGTGGTTTCTGAGCTATTTGGCTTTCTTATCAATTTCCCACTTATGTGTGATTGTATATATATGTGTGTGCACGGGGTGCGTGCGCGTGTGTGTGTGTCGAAGACAGAGACAAAGAGAGAGGGTAGCTTGTTGAATAGATCACACTGTAGTACTCTAAATGTGAAATGCTTGTCCAATAACCATTGAGCTGCTATAATTGGATGTGGTATTTTCCTCTCACCTTTATCTTTTCTTCTGATTTGGTATTGATTTTTTTAAATGTCTACTTCGCCAGTAATTTGCTCTTTCCTGTATGTTAAAGATAAAATCATTTTAATATTTTGGTGTTCTCCATGTCTAGTGCCTTTCAACTTTCTTCTTGAAGAAAGTTTTCACAACATATAGGCAGGCATATAAAGCCTTTGAGTCATCTACAAGTCTTTGGCTCTTTCACGTCTAATCCTAAACAATATTTTCCAACAAATTTTTCACCCTAACTCTACCATCTTTGCTTTAAAGTCATTGAGTATTAATCAGTATGTTAACTTGGTTTGAAGTATCTTGCCAAGTTTTTTTATAGAATTTCTCCATCTTTTCAGCCTCTGCAATGTAAGCTGCAGATATCTTCATGGTGATTGATCTTTTTGCTTGTGCTCATCATGATCATTGCAAGGCAAGATATTAAGTGGTAGCTCATGTTTTTCTGTGCCTTTGGATACATGACGAAACAAACTTCACCAGTCATTTTATTTGCTTCTCCAAGCAAAACCCAAAAGCTATCCTTCCATTTAACTCTAACTTTCTTATGTCTTCTAGTTTCAGTTACAGTGAGAATATCAATACTGATACAGATTGGTTCCTTCAGTAGAAGGACAATTCATTGATATTTGGAAAAGATCTCACATTTAAAATATTAATAACAAAATTAATGTTTATATACTATCTTAAAAATTGTTTAAGACTCAGCATTTTCTGCATCCCTTTCCTGTCATTCTTTAGTTATCACAAAGGGGCAAAAAACAATGGCATAAAATCGAAAGTCATTCTATGGTTTTTTTGGCGAGGGTGCTTAATATATTGCCATGGCCTCACAGTTCATCTCCTAGTACCCAACCTATCAGTGATGGGCCTCTCCATAGTTATGGAAAATGGTTCTCGGTCAGCAGATAAAGTCTAATGCCTTACTAACCCAAGATTATATTCCATCTATTCTGTATGTCTTGATTATACCTACTTATTTACATCTTGTTTCCTCATTAGAATGTAAGCTCCTTGAAGGTAGGGACTGTTTTGCCTTTTTTTTGTCCCTACATTTAGTACAATATATGGCATGTGACAAATGCTTAATAATTGCTTGTTGACTTATATAAGATCAGCAAGGGATAACAGATAACCCTAGTGCTACATTGGTGTACATAAAATATTGGTAGACCTATAAGGTCTCCTCATCTTATTAAGTAATTTCTGTGCAGAAGATTAAGGAAGACCAGGAGTAAGAATTACATAGAATGAGATATGATAGATAGATCGGTGATCTACACCATTGAAAAGACTCCCTTGCCTCCCTTCACCCCAACTCTCAAAGAGATCATTGATTCAAGAAAGTATCGAAGAATATCTAAAAGTTCAGTTCTACTTATTCAGTAAAATTTTCATAAAGGGATGAAGGCAGGATATCATATGACCTTTAGAAGAAAAGAGAGAGAACATTTAATTTTTGAGAGCGGCTGAGACTCAGAGCATCAGGAATGACATAAAAGAAGAAGCAAGTCTGAATGTAAAAGATGAGAAAAAACACAGAATGTTTGAGTAGAGAAAACAGCAAAGGAATGAAATGGTGAGGAAAGAGATAACAATGATCAGGGAACCTAATGGAGGGTTTCTAAGCCAAGTGTGAGAGACTTAAGTCTCAATGCATAGAAGAAAAAGTATGACATGGAAGGATAGGAAAGTCATAGATAGATAGATAGATAGATAGATAGATAGATAGATAGATAGATAGATAGATAGATAGATAGATAGATAAAATGTAATATTTAGGGTTGAAAGATACTTTAGAGATTAAATAATCTAGTCTACCCCTCTAATTTCACAAACATGGGAACTAAAACCTAAAGGACAAATGAGGCTCCCAACCACCCAGTTGCCAAATTGGGTTTGAAACTAGGTCCTCTACCTCCAAAAAGCCAGTGCTCTGCTGCCTTTCAGTTTATTATCACTTAAAAATGTTTATTAAAGAAGTATGCATCTTCATGATGTTTTTCTGTGTCTGCATAAATGGAGCCATATCGAGATAATTCCTTCTCTCTAGCTCACTGTCATCAAGGATATACATGTTGATGTAGAACGATAAGTAGGGGCAGCTAGGTGGCAAAGTGGACAGAGCTCCAGCCTTGGAGTCAGAAGGACCTGAGTTCAAATCTGTCCTCAGACACTTGACACTTACTAGCTGTGTTACCTTGGGCAAGTTACTTAACCCCAATTGCCTCACCAAAAAAAAAAAAAAAAAGGAAAAAAAAAAGATAAGTTAAGGAAGTAAGACCAAATAAAGCAGAAAACCAATATGCATTTAAACAATAAATACTGTTTAGGGTAACAACTGTCTAGTTTTGGAGATGGAGAGTGGATAATGTCATTGAGTTCTCAAATGAGAAAGTTTGAATTTTCATAAAGAGGGCATGTAATAAAGAATTCAGAGGCACAGCATGATTCTGAAGGAACAAGATATATAAGAAGATCCTTAAAGTAAGAGTTCTTAACCTGGGATCTAGAAAGTTTTTTTTTTTACATTTTGATAGCTATATTTTAATATAAATACTTTCATTTATAATCCCAAATTTAAAAATATTCACTGAAGAGGGCAATAGCCTTCACCAGTCTCCCAAAAAGGTCCATGCAAGGGTGTGCTAGAGTCAGCTCATACTGGCTTGCAAGAGCCAGTTGTTAAATGTTCAGTGTGAGCATTTACACATTGGAAATTGGCAAATACTGCAAATCATATCTTGGTTTGTTATTTTTTTTTATTGTTTTAACTTAAGAAAATGATAGATAAAATGTAAATAATGCAGATTAAGCTTAAAAGTGAGTCGTGTTTTTGGAGAGCCAGTTGTTAAACATTTACCATTTATCCCAGGATCCATGACACAAAAATGATTAAGG